TTATGTGGTGCTGAGGAATCGAACCCAAGGCCTCCGGCATGCAAGGCATGCGCTCTACCACTGAGCCACCTTCCCAGCCCCCTTAAAAAGTATTATACTACAAGAAGTTGGGGATTTGCCTTTAAAAATCTGCTAAAGCTAGGTCTAACTGTTCGATTTCATCATAGTACCTGCATATCAAACAATTTCACTTTCACTGTTTCCCTATAGGCCTTCTTCTGAATCTTTATTCTACCTTTGGGTTTGTCCTTATGGTAGATACAAACCTTCCAGACATGCTTAAGAATGCAATTTAGCAGAGGGGCCCATCAGCTACCCTGGACATTGATGAAAATGAACTAGGCAACCCAAAGACAGCGATGGGAGGGGAGGAATGAGAGGGAAAGAGGGAACAGCTAATACTAAGCAAAAGGACAGAAATGTACATATCACCTGATGTGGAAGAAATAATTGTATTGTCAACGCTCATGGGGTTCACAAACTTTATAGACCATGATAATGACAATTTGCCTTGTGAAAGTTAAAATGTGTTTGTGACTTTAATGAAGTATCACTATTCCACAATACTGTGAAATTTGTGAAATTTGTGTAATCACCTAATCTCAATAAAAACAAACAAAAAAGAATGCTATTCAGGAAGCTGAGATCTGACAATCAATGTTCAAAGCTGGCCCTGGCAGAAAAGCTGAAGACTTATCTCCAATTAACCAGATAAAAAAGCCTCACTGCAAGTACGGCTCAAGTGGGAGAATGCCAGCCAGGCATGGAAAAAAAGCTGAGAGAGAGAGAGAGAGAAAGAGAAAGAGCACAAGAGGCCCTGAGTTTAAGTTCTATTACCAGCATACCAACACACACACACACACACACACACACACACACACACACACTAAATTTGAAGAGTGCCACTATAATGCTAATGGATTTAGAGACTTGTAATGCAGTTTTATCCAGTCCTTCCTTTTTGGGTCTCCTCAATATATTCGAGATCTGACAACTGGAGTTTCCACCTAGTATCAAGAAAATTTTGACGAGTTGCCTTTCATTGCCAGCTGGGGAGGGAAGACACGGTGACGCTCCTAACCCAGCTGCCCACCATTACTAGGCAGCCAAGAAGTCATCCACTGGCACCTGTGGGCCCCCTATCATTAGATCCTTGATAAAGTGGAGCTGATGCTGTCAGAGAAACTGAGGCCTTTGTACAACGCCGCCCCCTCCCCCCCAGAGTAGACCTCAGGACAGTTTTGTTCTGGGCTCCAATTATGAAATGGGGGTTGGTGTTGGCTAGATTGGCTTACATGGCAAAATCTGACACACAGATAAACTCAGCACCTCTCAGCCTGGTGTTTTAATGGCTACAGAGTTTATTTGGTCAAGATACTCACTTGTAATTATACCTAAAAATTGGAATCTGTTTGCTTTTAATTTATTTGTGTGGACAGCAGGAGCCTCTCAGCTCGTTCAAATTTGAAGATAGAACCAAGAACTGAAATCTAAAGAAGTCAATTAAAAGAGTTCCTGATCACCTGAACAACCTACATATGGATATAACCACTGGGACCTACATTATTACTGGTAAGGTGATATTATTAACTGTGCTAATATTTGGAAGGCACTAGAGAAAAAAAAACAACTATAGACTAGTGCTTAATTCCACAGAAAAATAAAGCAAATGTTTAATAAAAGTCTCTCTTTGCATACAACTTTAAAGGAACGTATTTGTGGATATCATGGATCACAGTAACCATTTTTTTCTACCATTTATCTTCAATAAATTAGACTTGATCATTCATTTTAAAAAAGAAAGAAATTTGTGTTCATCATCTGAACACTCACCACAGTATAATAATTCTTGGTAAGTGGAGCGGTTTCAAATCCTTTGACAGCCTTGGGGGAGAGAGGTCTCTCTGTGAAAAAGACATTAAATAATGTGAATATCATTCAACTCTATGAGGAACATTGTATAACATCTTGTAATGATTCCAAATGTCAGGATCAAGAGAAATGCTCATTGCTAAACAAGTGAAATTACCAGTTTACTAAACCATAAGTCAAAGTGCTTCTCATCTAGACCCTTTAATTTTGAGGATAGAGCAGGCCAAGGAATCCAGCCATGGAAAATCAGTGTCAGGGTGAGGGTTAGAGTTTCCTTCCCAGGAAGGGTTTCTTTACTCTAGTTTGCTTCTAGACAGAGGGGAAAGTGAGAAAAGAGGGGAGGCGACAGACATGAAGGGAAGGGAGATGAAAAAAGAGAAAAGAAAACCAGGCACAGGTGGCCTGTAATCCTAGCTACTTAGGAGGCTGAGATCGGAGGATCATGGTTCAAAGCCAGCCCAGGCAAGAAAGCCTTGAGACTCTTATCTGCACCAGAAGTGGAGCAGTGGCTAGAAGTAGTAGAGCACTAGCCTTGAGCAAAAAAGCTACAGGATAGTGCTCAGGCTGAGTTTTGGACTGGCATGCACACACTCACGAAAACACAGACCTTTTCTATAGCGTTTGTAAGGCACTGAAAAGATTGGTCAATTCAGTTAATTGGTCAATTCAATTAATGGCCAAGAAGGAGTCAATATCAAGAAGAATTTTCATAGGTTGTTTGGCATAAAATAACAAAAGCAGTGTCACACAAACATAAACGTGAGAATGCCTACTCTTCCGTCCGTGTTAAAGACCCCTTTCCAATTCACTTGATTCTGTCCGCATTTTGCTAGCATCTAGATTCCTATTGCCTGTTGATGATGACAACACAAAAAGAAATCTAGTGGCAATCATTTTTTTCTCTGGACATGAGGTATCTTTGTGGTACTCCCAGGGAATTAAAATATGAAGTCTAAAAGCTCCATCCTAGCTTTGGTTTATAATGAACAGAAAGGATGGTTTCTTAATGTACCTTAAAACAAATTTAACTAGTCAGTTACTTAATAATCCCTAAATTGATTCCTATATTTGCTTTCTTTTCTTTTGCCAGTCCTGGGGCTTAAACTCAGGTTCTAGGTGTAATCCATGAGCCTGTTGGTGCTCAAGGCTAGCACTCTACTATTGGAGCCACAGCACCACTTCCTGCTTTTTCTGAGTAGTTTATTGGAGATAAGAGTCTCACAGACTTTCCTGCCCTGGCTGGCTTCAAACTGCAATCCTCACATCTCAGCCTCCTGAGTAGCTAGGGTTACAGTTATGAGAGAGCCACTGACACCTAGGTATATTCGCCTTGTAATAAGATGTTTTTGAAGGATTTAATAAACCCTTAGCAGTATCAGTTGGAGAAAACAGAATTTGTTTAAATATTGTCTTCAATCACCCTTAGGTCAGTATTTTCTTGACATGGAAATTTTGCCAGGAAAAGTTTGTTGCTGTTGTTGTTGTTTTATTTGACACAGGGTCTTACTACACAGCCAGCAGTAGAATGGAACTGGAAGTCCTCCTGTCTCTGCTTTCAGAGTGCTAGAAGTATACCACACCAAATTCAGGGAAAGTTAAAAGTCCTACCAAAATCCTTAGCCTTTCTAGGTAACAAGGTAAAGATAAAAATGAAAAAAGAAACCAGGCGTAGGTGGCTGTAATCCTAGCTACTAAACAGGCTGAGATCTGAGGATCACAATTCAAAGCAAGCCTGGGCAGGAAAGTCCATGAGATTTTTATCTCCAATAAACCACCAGGAAACTGAAAGTGGCACTGTGGCTCAAGTGGTAGAGCACTTGCCTTGAGCTGAAGAGCTAAGGGACAGCGCCCAGGCCCAGAGTTCAAGTCCCACGACCAACAAAAAAAGAAAAGAAATAAAAAGAAAAAGAGGGGCTGGGAAGGTGGCTCAGTGGTAAAGCGCTTGCCTTGCATGCTTGAGGCCCTGGGTTCGATTCCTCAGCACCACATAAGCAAAAAGAAAAAAACCGAAAGTGGTGCTCTGGCTCAAGTGGTAGAGCGCTAGCCTTGAGCTGAAGAGCTGAGGGGCAGCGCCCAGGCTCAGAGTTCAGGCCCCACGACCGCCCCCCCCAAAAAAAAAAGAAAAAGAAAACAATAGAGCTTATTATGTTACTGGTACACTGCTCTGGAAGCTATTTCGTGGATGTATAAACAACAGATTGATTTGCAGACAATGACTGGGTTTAAAAAGGGAACTGGAAGCCGGGCGCTGGTGGCTCACGCCTGTAATCCTAGCTACTCAGGAGTCTGAGATCTGAGGATCTCGGTTCAAAGCCAGCCCGGGCAGGAGAGACCATGAGACTCCTATCTCCAATAAACCACCAGAAAACCGAAGTGGTCCTGTAGCTCAAGTGGTAGAGCGATCGCCTTGAGCTGAAGAGCTGAGAGACAGCGCCCAGACCCAGAGTTCAAGCCCCATGACCAACCAAAAAAAAAAGGGAACTGGAACTTGTATAAATGACTAGTTCTCTTATAATGTATGTGACTCTAATGAAATACAAGGGCAAAGACCCTGAAGATGCAAAGACCCTTTAGTTGCTTATATAATGATTAAGGTATTAGCATGTATATTTTTAAGTAGTTGTTCAACCGGGCTACAATTCCCTAAGTCAAGTTAGGAGTACAATGCTTCTTCAATGTCATTCTAAATCCATAGAGAGGCAAGAAAAACTGGAAATGTGGATTCTTTTTTTTTTTAAGTTGGTCATGGGGCTTAAACTCTGGCCTTGGGTACTGTCCCTCAGCTCTTCAGCTCAAACAAGCACTTTATCACTTCAGCCACAGTGCCACTTCCGATTTTCTGGTGGTTAATTGGAGATAAGAGTCTCAAGGACTTTCCTGCCTGGGCTGGCTTTGAACTGTGATCCTCAGATCTCAGCCTCCTGAGTAGCTAGGATTATAGGCGTGAGCCACCAGCACTGGGCAAAACATGAATTCTTGACCTCACCAGTGCTCAGTCTGTCATCCTTATTGAGAAGTTTTTATCATCATGGTCACAGAGACCTATTGCATTTTTAACTGAAATTGCACACTGAAAGGGTGTGAGAGGTACAGATTGGAGGGATGTGTTTAATATTCAAATATTCTATTGCTTTACTTTCTATAGTCTATGGTGGATGGCTTTTTCCTGCTATACATCTTCTGAAAAAATCAGCTTACTCTCCAAGAATGAGAAGAAGCTATCTCCAGGGCTTTCGTCACTTATCTCAAGAGAAGAGCTATACTGGAATCCAAAACTTCACATTCCACTCCCCACAGGCACATTTAGCAGAGTACAAAGTGTTCTTGTCAATGACAGGCTCCAGGGAAGAAACTAATGCACAGCACTCTCGTGCCCCAGCACTCTGCAGGGCAAGAGGTCTATGGTTCTGGGCTTGCTTTATTATGCTTTTAAAACATTACAGAAGGCTGTGTACTATCAGGGTGGCAGCACCCAGACTGTCAGTATGAACTGTCCCAAGTACCATCATAGTGACCACAGTGTCCCACTTTGATCAATAAATAGCAGCTGAAGATCCACCAAAGTTCTTCAGTTCCATTCCTGATTCAACTTCATAAATGGCCCATGAAGTTCTGTGGTCATGGTATTTAAAAAGCTAAAATTGAAAATCTTATTTCTATGAAATATGCATTTCATCTCAGAATCCTTTTTTCAACCTCCTTAAAGACAAATTTTCTTGTCTGAGCTTTTACATCAGTGGAGAGAGTTCATGGGAAGAAAGGGAATATTGCCAGTGTTTTCTATACCAGACATGAAACAAGCATGAAGGCATAGCATCTCCTGGTAGCATTCTACATGGGGTTTGGCTTCCTCATTGTTTTGTGGAGGTGGCAAGAGTTGAAGTGGGAAAGAATTCAAGTCAACAAAGATTGAATGCTTGCCTAACTCCAAACAAGGCATTTCCATTACATCAAGATGATCTATTCTGCTACTTTCCAAACTAATTCTACTGAGTCTACTCACAAAAACGTCCTGGCTTTTGTTTTCTCTGACCAATCAGTATGACTTAGATTTTTCTTCTCTCTCTTCTGGGCCTACCTCATCCCATATACCAAGCTTAAGTTCTATGCTACCCAACTATTTCATCCTTTATAACCGTTCTGCCTTGAGACATTGATGATCTGCTATATATTTTACACTTCATTATTCACCCTGTTATACTTTCATTTCTGTGTTCCATCTTCCAATTTTTGTCCCTTTCAAGTGTTCTATAGCCAAACTGCTTGCTGAAAAATCTTCAGGAACTATGACTTAATACACTTCCAATCAACAATTCTAAAACAATTCATCATCTTCAGTACTATACATAAGCAACCCCCAAAACATACACACACATACACACACACACACACACACACACACACACACACACATTCTCCTGTCTTCTCTGTTAATAGAGTTCACCATTTTATTAGTCCATTTTCTCTTAGTATAACTAAATATTTGAAGTTGGGTACTCATAACGAAAAGATGTTTATCAAGATCACAGCTTTTGAAGCTGAAAGAGTCCAAAATTGGCCGGTCTCATTTCCTTTTCTCTGGGAAGTGCTTCATTGACTGTCCCAATATGGCAGAAAAAAAATGGGAAGGGAATTAGGCGAGCACAGAAGGGGAGATCATATAGTGAGACAGGAAGCAAGTGAGATTTAGGGACTACATTTGCTCTTTTATAACCTACTCTCCACAAAAATTAATTGGTATCTCTTAGGAACAACATTAATCGGGCTGGGAAGGTGGCTCAATGGTAGAGTGCTTGCCTTGCATGCTCGAGGCCCTGGGTTTGATTCCTCAGCACCACATAAGCAAAAAGAAAAAAGCTGGAAGTGGCGCTGTGGCTCAAGTGGTAGAGCGCTAGCCTTGAGCTGAAGAGCTGAGGGACAGCGCCCAGGCCCAGAGTTCAGGCCCCTCGACCGGACTCAAAAAAAAACAAAACATTAATCTCTTTGGAGGCAAATGCTGTCAATGATTCATCTCTTACTAGACTCCATTTCT